TTTTGTTTCGGATCCGACTATGACGAATCCTGCTAACACATACGTTACGACTTGAATACAAAAAAAAAAGTGACTTGCGCCCTCGTAGCAAATACATGTGTTCCATACCATGTATGGGAGCGCAAGTTATCTGACGCAGTCATTGAGACATAGCTTACCCTATATACTAATTACATTGGAAAGGGGAAGATTTATTCCAAATATTTTGACATGCAAATGAATTGGAGAATACTTTTGGAAGTACGAATGACGGCGTAAACAAAACAGTTATTACATTTTCGCATTTTGTAAGTCTTTTGTTCTCAGTGTTTCAATAAACAGTGTATTATAGTATTATACATCACTGCCATGTTTATACTAGTGATTTTTAGCGTTGTAACTGCCCCTTCATTTTATGTATAGCAATGCATTTTGACATTTGCTCTGGCTAAGTGCATTACATTTCCATTTTCATAAATATCATGTGTTCGTAAGGGTTGTTGAATGTGTTTCATTTTTTTTATTCCATTAAAATTGTGTATTTTTTCTGAATTTATACTGAAGGCGTGTATGTATGCTAGTTTCGATGTTACTGCTGCCTTGTGAGAGACTTCAAGCAAATTCAAGCTGTATGATACAGCTCTTCTCCCGACGGAACCCTAACAATTTCGTTAGAAAATAACAACCTTTCCAATTCTGATGTTCAAAATCGGTAGAGGAGCGCCTTCTGAAGAACGACACAATGTATAGAGAGCTACAGCTGATCAAAGAACGGAGCAGCTAGCCAGAGTAACAAGAGTGCAAGTGGAAACTTTCTTGCCACCAAAAAGCGTAGAAGAGTTTGGATGGGGAGAACTTAATTATGAGCTTGGCGGTGCCGCTGCTTGCCGACAAAGAGAGGTTGAGCTGATTAAGGCCAACGGGGTGAACGCTTATCGCATCGAAGTTGCAAAGATTATCGAGATAATCCGATCAAAGAAGGACGTGAAGTGAGGGTGTAGCTAAGAAGGCGATATTGACGCAAAAAGTAAATCCTGGCTACTACGAACATTGCCACAATTTGCGGGAATAAGAATAATTGAAGTTTTGCATGGTTTACTCCTTGACATGCAATGTCACAACCATGAAATTAAGCATGTCTCATAACTGAGCACCCATTACTCAACTTCTTTTATGTTCACTACCACTATTCCACCCAGTTCAGCAACTCTCTTAAAAATACATTTATGGAAGGAAGTGAAATGAAAGGAAGTGAAAGGAAGGGTGGGGATGTTAACCAGCTTGACATAACCAGTATGCTAGCCTGCACCGAAGGAAGAAAAGGGTTAGATTGAAAGAAGAAGGGGAGCACACGCGCACACATACAACTTCACAGCGCAGAACGGCTGTCTCTGGTGGCACACGGCATCACAGTCTACATACGCTTGTGCAAGTATATTGTCCTTAGGAATATGGAATATTAGCAATGCTTTGTTTGCTTGAATTCTCAACGACTTTTCAGCATGACATTGACGAGTAGTTTCTAGTGTCACCGTTCTGTTGACAAGACGAGTGAATGAGAGGAATCCCATATGGACGGCGTAGCGAGGACAGTCGCAGAAGATATGTCGTAATGTTTTCTCGGTAGCGTCGCCATCACAAAGAGCTTTGTGAGCCATCCTTATGCGAAATGAATACGGTTTTTTGAAAGCCACCCTTAGTCTTAAGTACCGTAGTAGAGTGGCCTCTTTTTGGCCGAGATATATGAAAAATAGGGGAGAAGGAAAGGCAGAGAGGCTAATCAGCTCAGGAAAAACGGTTTGCGACCCTACACAAAGGCACACGAGGGGCAAGATTGAAAATTAAAGAGAAAACAGTGAACAAATATAGCACATAATAATTTATTACTGCGCACAAAAAATACGCCGAAGAGAAGGAGATATATCAGGCTGGTAATTGTTAATAGAAGGGTGCAAAGCCTGCCTGTTGTTTCGGGAGAAGGGAAGACAGAGAACGTGAAGAGAAAAGTGACGAGTACCTAGACAAGATAAGTAAGAACACCAATAAAAACAGTGTAATAATGGCCTCTCCAGGGGTGGCCAGATAGGTTATGTTCATAAAAGTGCGCTGTGCCCGATCGGTTTGATCGCGTCGCAAAACAGCACATGCACACACATGCAGAGTGAGTCCACTCCATTACTTCCGTGGTACGAGAAATCCGTGTCCACTGCCGCTTGTCCAAGTTCGTTTCGGCCGAAAGAATTGAAATAACTACCTTGAAGCCTAGAGTATTGTCACCTGCCCCTACCCCCCCCCCCCCCCTAGGTTGAGTTATTAAGCATGTCACCTTTTCTAGTGGTCTCCATATTTTGGACAAACGCATTGTGTAAACTTATAATACATCATACAGCAAACAAACAAGAAGAAAATGTGAGTCTCCTCTCTGCTCCCAAGATTGAGGAAGCAGCTGAGTTGGTAACACTACCCTCGTTTTTCCTTCTCTTCCTTCTCACCCTGCCTTTGTTTCTCGCTCCTGCTATATTTACGAGGCTTATGCTATTTTTACGCTGTCAACTTCTCCTTCACCTCACTCTTGCTACCACTTCCCTTTTCAAGCTAGCTGGCAATATTATAAAATACATAGTACTGCTAACCATTTTCATCATTGTATGCGTTATTGATAAATCATTCATTGGGAAGCACAGCCTAGTGGTCATGCAATTCTCGGAGCAGGTGACACTCACTCAAGCTTTTTCTATAATGTATCGGTTATTGATCGACCATCGATTACCTATAGTTTTCTTTTGAAGATGAAGCGCAAAAAAGGTATACATCGGACAAAGGGTACAACGAGGACACGTGCTATCGTTGTCGCCTTCGTGCGTTGTATACTTTTTTTGCGCTTCAGCTGTAAAAAACATGCAATGCCAACTATAGCCCAATTCCATACCTTGCTTCTATACATTAGCTAGCACTTTGTTATCGAATGGTTTCACTCGTGCGTTTCATTAAGGCTGAGGATATACAAGCATTTTAGGGAACACACTGGGTGATTGATCAATTATCGGCTTGTCATTGATAGGTTGTCTACTGGTTATCACTGGCATTTGGAATTTCAGCCACGCTAAGCACTTGCATACATGTCCATGCTTTTGTTGCTGGTTGATCGATCATTGATTAGCCGAAAAAGACACAGTGAGAACACTCCAGCAAAAAAATGATTAATAAGCATCATTCTCTGCAACTTATTAAGTATGCGACCTGCATTCAAGCTGAAAAGGGCTGGGGATGAGAGAAAAATGTGAAACAAATGGTTTGTTAGCCTTGGTGGAATGCAAGAAAAAAGGGCTTTTCTAAGATGGTTGCATGATGTTCTTCAGGTGATAAGCCTAAATAACATTTATTAAATAAGTTTTACTGGAATATATAAATCTAAGAAGTCACACGTAATCATGCATGATGTGGAACGACCAATACTTCTACTGCTTCAACCAGAACAACAACCACAACTACTGCTACTTGAACTACCGCCAGTACTAAGATGACGACGACAAGAGCTCCCGTGGTACGACTGTTTAAGAGTCTGCGTGGCCATACGAAAATTTTCTGACTGGCAACTTGTCAGCTTCAAATAGCAGGAACACATAAAAAGCCACAAGAAATCTTTCCAAATTTGTATTTCTGTACCCACAGAGCCCCTTGTCTCGCTAAGAATACCTCTCTTTCAGACATAATAAATGTTCCCACTTTTTGCCCAAATAAGTCTGACTATACCTCAGGCTCTCCATAATGACAGAACACTCACTCATTGAAACGATTGTCCAGGACTACGTGACTTGCCCTAGCACTGGCCAAGTTATTCGCGATATGAGGCAATCATCTTAAACGTTTTGGAACAAGTGACGACCAATTAGTTTTTCAATACTATCGTCACCGTGGATTTTGTTGTTTCGAAGTCGAAACCGTTTCAGGGGACTCACGAGAGCTTCCAAGACGCGTGAAATAAACGTAAGCGCATGAAAGCTGGACTTCTTCGAACACCGTCGAACCACGCCATCTTGCCGGGCCTGTAGCTCCATGACATTGTTATAGCACGAGCTCAGAACGACGACAAAGGGACAACAGGACGAGTGCTCGTCTTCTGGTCCCTTTGTCGTCACTCTAAGCTCGCACTATAGCAATCGTCATGTCCTGCCAATTAGCCCAAGCTGCCACGCTGTAGCTCCAGGTACGGAGTAGAAGCTACGCAGCTTACGCCTCGCAGCATTTCCCATTCCTGTTTCTCCTCTTACGTAATCACACCGGAGTCTACTTTTAATCACGGAGTTTCGCACACCAGTACAACTCTATAGCAGAATGAGGGATAAGTACGCTCACTTGCTCATTAAACAGCGCTGGAAAACTTCGCGCGGCACTGGGTAATGGCAGCTCAAGCTGCTTAGCGAGGTCTTACTCTTATCGCATAGAACAAAATGCAAAAAACATGGAGGCATTTTCGTAAGGACGAAATAAAAAGAACAAGTGCTCTGTGATTACACATTCCAGTTTGTCATATTTTCTTGCCCCACCCCCTCCCACCCAAAGAAAAAAATGTAGACAAGCGTAAATAGAGTCACCTAAACGTTTCACTTGAACGGTTGATAAGTAACCGTGACTGCACATTGCAGGCAGGACATTTTTTCCCTGCCCGTTCTTTCTTGCTTCGGAGTTACGAAGGCTGCCTCGAGCGCCATCACAAGTGTACCACAAGCGCACACAGTCGATAACAATCGTGAAATACTTGCGGAGAACAGGTGTGGTCCCACTCGGGGGGCAATCGGCGCCCGGTTTTACTCTGGCCATTGTTTCCGTGAAGGCACGCGTCTTGCACTTTCTCATGTGTTTCTTTTAGGATTGCGTGAGTTCCGTTGTGACCTCTTTTTTCTTTTCGTTTCTCTTTTTCTTCACGCCCTCGCCCCGCCTTGCACGGTCAGCGTGTGCGCGACTCCCAACTGTCTGACCGATGATTTAAAAGCGCCCTCCACTCCGCACATGGCGTGCACTACTGGCCACCACGTCGCTGCAAACGTACCCTGAGCACTAGATCTCAAAAGCGCCAAACCTCAATTCGAAAGCATGAAGTCCATGGTGAGTTGAAAAGCGAACTCGTTTTTCAGTCATTCATCTTTATTGTAATCTTCATCCGCTTTGGGAATTTTAAACAATAACATAAATATTGATTAGTTTGAGTTCAACATCCCCAATATGGTTACGAAGGACGTCACAGTGAAGAGTTTTGCAAATTCTGAACAACCAGGGTTCTTCAAGTTGTGCCTAATTTGAAGTGACAGGGCCTCTAGCTCACTGCCTCTATCGGGATGCGGCTGCATTGGTGTAAATAGATCCCATGACCTTCGGCTGAGCAGTAGAGTTGTATAACCATTACGCGACCCCTGCAGGTGAAGCGCGACGAAGACACGTAGTCGGATTTGACAAATGTTTTAAACTGGAATTGATTCCAAGTTGCTTTATGCATGCCTGTAGTGGTTGAGAAAGAAATGTTGCACATGCTCATATCATTTCCGACTGTTCATTCTTCCCGAACGTCCCCCTCTTAATTACAACTGCTTGTTAGCTTTACTTCATGAGAACGTTGGGCTTTCTTATTGCTCAAAAGTTTTGCTGTCTATCTGTGATGTATTGCTTTGCGGCGCGTGATCAGTGATCATTTGTTTCAATGGACGGTTTATGATGACACCGAATGGTCACTGCGTATTCGGCTTTGAACGCTGGCCTTGCTATATATGTGAGCGCACCTACTTCTATGTATACTTGACAATTTATATCTATGAAATCAATTTTAATTTTGAGCAGAGAACACTCCATTGTATGATCGTATTAACCGAAAGATAAAATTTGACTGTCGTGGTTTAGATTTTTTAACTTCTGGCTTTGCGTGGCACCCTAGAGCGCAACACATTCCAGAGATCGAGTAAATGGGCCGTTTTTCCGACTCAAAACCGTCCTTACAGAGCATGCAGTCAGTTATTCGACGAGGTTGCCACGAACACTTAACCTACAAGGTTGTCAAGCTTCTTCACCACGCCACAGAAACAGGCCACGAGGTCCATTTTTAGTGGCTACCTCATCATCGTGGGATCAGTGGCAATGATTCCGCAGACAACGCGGCTCGCACATCACACCAAGAAGAGCACATCCTTCTGATTTCTTTGTCAAGGACAGATACTGCAAGGAAACTTCGTCCCCTAGCACGTAGTCCATGTCTGCTGGAGTATAGAACACACCCCGCGCATAAGAAATATGAGGCTCCACCAAATAAACCCTCAACTGGAACTTCGACCTACATCCGGACTTCGTTGGCGTGAAGCTCCGCTCTTTTGTCAGCTTTGGTTGAGGGTTGCCTTCACAAAAGTACATGAAATCCTCATTGGATTGAATGACAGCGCGAAATGTGACGTCTTCGGCACTAAAGAAGACATTGATATCTTCTAAGCCGTTGCCCTCGATCTGTTTCCGAGAGAAAAAACTGTCTGACGCATTGCGACAATTCGACGATCGGCCACTGTCTGTGAAGATGCTGCTGGAGCACCGTCCTCGTCCTCGGTTGGCTCAAAAGGCAGTCAAAGTCCTCATGTGCTTGTTGAGGACTACGGGCCTATGTTAACGCCTTTAACTTTTGTGTACTACCACCGCTGCATACGCGTCTGCCCATTGACTGACAATTTTGTGTCTCTTTCTCTTCTCTTTCCTTCTCTCTCTTATCTTTATACTCTCCCTTACAAATCCCCCAGTGTAAGGTAGCAAACCAGGCATGTGCCATGGTTAACATCCCTGCCTTTTCAATGAAATCAGCGTTCCAATGAAGGTGAGCTCTAGAACAGTGTACATGTAGTGAGAAAGGCTCACCATTGTATGACGTCATGAAATCAACGACTGTTTTATTGATGTAACAGAGATGCCATGCCCAATAGCGGTGTGTGTTAAGGTAATTATTGGTTGAGCTGACATAGAAAATCATGTTCTCCGTGTCGGCAAGCTGGTGTGTACATTGTGTCGGTATCTCTGCGGCGCTTCATGTTTTGTAATGTGTACGCAGAGTGCTGTAAATAAATCGAAATGGGGAGGAGGCGAAAGTCTGCAAAGGTATCGCAATAAAAAAGCACATGATTTTCAGAGTTCACTTTGAAAAGGGCAGAAACCATATTGTTGGTTGGTAGTTTTCTGATTTTTTGCTTATATAATCTTGGTGCTTTTGATTTGAATTGCTAACTACCATACTTATTTTTTACAGAAGATTTCGACACATTTTTACACTATGGGGCCTTCTCTGTATACTAAATTGTTGTAAGATTACGAAAATTTGATTCTAAATCGTAAATATTTCTTTCCATATGCATGGTGCCAGTTCTTTCACTTCATCACGTTTTTTCTTCTCTCTCAGGTCACACTGGTCTGCATCGCCCTTGTTGCTACCATGGTATCGGCAGGGTATTATGGCGGATATGGTGGTTACGGAGGCTATGGCGGGGGCTACGGAGGCTACGGAGGCTATGGTGGGGGCTACGGGTACCACCCCGTAGGCCGCGTGTTCGTGTACTCGACGCATATCCAGCACCCGTCCTACGGTTACGGTGGTTATGGTCACGGTGGTTACGGTGGCTATGGTGGATACGGTTACGGACTTGGATACGGACACGGATACCACGGTTAAACCAAAAATTTGGGCCCTGTTCCTCAAAGATGATTTATTTCATGCTTTCGAGGAAGTATACGCTTCTTCAGGATGACCTTGTCATAAACTTGGGATAGTTTAGACGGTGTACGAAGGTTCTGGCTAATCTTCCCGATGGTGGGAGAAATAGGATCTGTAAATAAAAACTTACTTGTATTCTCTCTGTGTTCATGTACCAAGGTTGATTGTCAAATGAAAACATGCATGATTACATTTCTCTTGTATAAGTGCTAAGCAAATATTCGCTATTACACCGCTCCATGCTTCAATGTTGTCAACAAGAAGTAATGGAAAAAGTGAGTAACTAGTATGAAAACAAACAGTGACATCTATGCTGATGAACGTTTTCAAAGAATTCGCTCAGAATCACTCCTAAGGTGTCCTCGCAAAACGCACGAAAATCGCTATTGCTTATGCAGTATAGTGAATGGTCAACATGTAATCAGCATGAGTTTACTAGCAGTTATGTTAGGTGTAACAAAGAGGAAAGCGAAGAAGGTAAACAACAGTATAAAACCATAGACTTCGATATTGCACACGTGCTGTAACAGCACGTGTAGCAACAACTGCACGTGTGCAGTTGCACAAGTGCAGTAGCAACAAATAATAATAAACATAGAACGAGAGACAACAGAAAAAGGAGGTATAATAAAGAGAGCGTGTGAAATGAAACCCTAAAGACGTAAAACGCAGATGTAATATGTTCCCCACCCTCTGCAAACGCACGCTCGCACACATTGTCCGGTCCGGTGAGTTTGGGGCAACGAGACGAAAGAAAAGCTACGGGCAAGAACACGGAAGTAGGCTTTAACGAGGCGTGATGTAAGGCGCGTTTCGTTTCCTCTTTCTCGCCCAGTGCCGATCGAATCACTGCACTGAAGATGCTAACCTTCAGTGAGAAAGGGCCTGCAGTTTTGACTCTAGGGTGAGGCATATTACACGCGGATGTCACCGGCAATTTGCCATTTATTCAAACTGCGCACTCAATCTGAGCATCCTTGAAGGTAATAACTATTACACGTAATAACTATTAACAACTAACTGCACGTAGCAATATGATCTCTAAAAGTCCCGCCAGGAACAAACAAACATAATTATTTTCAGTAGCATAGCAAGTGCTGATTATTTTATTCCAATGCGTACAGTCTAAACAGCAGTCTCTGTTTGACCCGATATTCAGTACCATATTAATGATTACAAAAAAAGACATGCCTTAGATGATTGTCAGCGGAATATTCCAGCAAGCAAGAAATTTTATTTGTATACGCCCATTATTATGCTCGAAACAACACTAACGCTGCTTTTGTGCACCTGTATTTATTTATTTATTTATTTATTTAAATCATGCAATTGCTGTGCGTCACGCCAACAACAATGCAACATCACTGCTGTGAAAGACTGCGATCCTGAGATACAAACCATTACTGCGAAAAGCAACGTGGTACAGGTACAATCATAGCGCTTCTCACAAAAATACTTACATGTAAGTGTGGCGCCTTCGTGTAAGCGAATTTATAAAGGGGTCCTCTTGGAGCACTGGGAATGATGGTCTGCGAGGCTTGTGTTGGCTGGTGTTGAGTGAGATTCGGCTCAAAAGTGAATAGGGCTGCGTAAATAAAGCTTCTCTAAAACAACACGTTTATAAGCGGATCTCGTCCACTCGTATTATATATTAAATAAAAGTTTACTCACCTCAACGGCAAAAACAAACGGCGAAAGAAAGAAACAGACTACATAATATGGTGGAGGGAACGCAGGCTTTGTCGTCTGCCTGTCATGCTTAGTGGCCGTTGGTTATACTTAGGCTTCGCAAAAATGTACATCGACGCTGAAGGTTCCAGTGTCCAGTAAAGCACGTTTCTGTGCAATGACAAAAACTAAATAGCTGTTTTTGTAAGAATTCAACCATTTTACGTGAAGCCAGACGGCCCTTCGAAGGTATACGATTTGAGTCAATTTGGAAGCTCACATATTTTGGCATTTTCTTTGCATCTAGCAGCTCACTAGCGCCAGCTTTCCTCTAGAAATTTTGTGGGAAACTCTATGGGCACAATGTGATTCTCTCTCTAATTAGGCGATCACGACTTGTCATTTACGTCGAATTCCAAGACGATTTTGTTCAGTGTGTGTTCAGGGTGCCTTCAGGGTCTGTTTATGGTGTTGAGTGCTGGTTAGCACTGATTCGTGTTTACAATCTCGCACACTTGCAAAGAAAGGCGTAAAACTTCCATTGACGCAGGGTTGTAGCACTAACAGCGATCTAAGGTAACAATTTAGCTTTGTAATAGAAAACATTGTAACAATGTAACATCAGTGAAGATGACGAGTTGCCGACTATTGCGACACCCTATAAAGAAGAAATCTAATAGTAGAAGGACTGAAAGTTGGGCAGTTGTTGACAGTATTTGAACACAGCGCACGAATACGTGGACACAAGAGGAGGAACAAACCGCAGCACTGCTGTTTGTTTCTTCTTCTCATGTTTTCACGTAGCCGTGCACTGTGTTAAAATATGTTCAAAATCTGATGGTAACGTAGCTAGTAGAATGAATTGAGCCCTCTTTGGGAGACAGCGCATCGAGCGAACAATGGGCAAAGCAGTACCAAAAAAGCACAGTGCCAAGTGTAAAAATAACAGGAAACCCCTTCAAGGCTTCAACATCGCCCAATAACGCCCGAAGTCTGTAAGCAAATTTGTATGTATAAAAAAACACTGCGCACTACTTCGATTGGCATCTGAACTCCTCGTGGCCTCACCATATTCGGATCGTTCCTGCGGTCCCATTTAGATGATAGAGCAGGCACCTTTACTTACAGATTATCACTTTATTGGCTCAAGTGAAACGGGATGGGCTGAAAGTTGTGACGAGTAGTTCGGCAAGTTTCTATTTTAACAGTATGTTAAGGTCGCTGGGAACGCTCTAGCTAGTATTACTTTACTAACGGCCCGTCTGTGCTCACCGGAGACACAAAAGAAAACAATAAGAAGCGGTCACATTTCATATCAGCAACTCTACTCATATATTAGATAAACTTACAGTATTGTTCAAGAAAGAAGTTTAATATTGAATACTAACCTAAAAACTAGGCTGAATTGCACGTTACAATCTTGGGGCAAATACAAACTTAGGTAGAAAGAAAACTTGCGAAAAATTTCATGCACCTCAGGAACACGTCGTAAGTCTGCTAAATGATGTAGTTAAGTCGCGAATAATTAAGTCGCGTGGCTCGTGGCCACCGAAGAAACGCTAATCGTTGCACTCAAGCTGGGTGACCCATTCTTTGGTGGCACCGTATAGTATATCCTACACGGCAAAGCTAAGACAACGGAATCCCATAATTAGCCGCATAATCCCCAGCCGGCCTCACCGGGCACTTATCCTTGGAAACAAAGGAACAATCCTTCCCACGCTTCTCAGTGCTGTGCCGCCTGCTCAGGAAAACACAGGAAGGGCCGCAAGGGACCCGTCTTGGGCTGTCTAGATTTCAGCTTACTTCTTTTATCTCGCTGCTCTTTGTGCAATACGTTTCTGCTTGATCCAAATAATAAATCGGCAGCCACATCGTCAATCATCTCAGCGTAGGGAAGTCGTTGCTTTTTACTAATTATGCGCGGAAGGGGTAGAAGACAAAGGAAAGATTAACTATATCGCACTAAGTTCAGAACCCTACATGAAGAGTAGAAAAACATCAGAGAGGACAAATGTTACGTTTTCTCTCATAGCAATATATATATAGTCAAGTAGATTATTCATGAGCGGTCACAACGTGGTTGTGACCGCTCACGGAGGATGCACTTGACTATATCCAACGCTACGGCCACTCAACCACTATGCCTGCATATATATATATATCGAACGCGTTATTCGAAGGTCGTAGGTTCGTTTCCTGCTCACAGCTGGTAATTTTTTCATCCACTTTTCTTTCTTCTTTCTTCTTATTTACATTTCATTGGTTCTAATAACTTCCCCTGTACATTCCATGGCATTATTGTCTGTTATATCTCAATATTGTGTTAAAACACGGAAATACGAGCCCTTAGGTATACACTTCTCTCCCTTATATATATATATATATATATATATATATATATATATATATATATATATATATATATATATATATATATATATATATATATATATATAGAGAGAGAGAGAGAGAGAGAGAGAGAGAGAGAGAGAGAAAGAGGAAGGGAGAGAGAGAGAGACGCATCTCCATGAAGTAAATCGTGGCGAGTGGGCGAAGCACGAGAGTTGTTCTTACCTTAAATCATGCGTGACATTAACCCCTTGCGCGCATTTAAATGAGTGACAACGCGTGCGTATACAGTATAGGACATTTGTTTCGGCCGTTGGGTCACCGCTTACCGCGCCCTCTACTCCGGTGCAGCAGCTTGTTGTCGGTGTTGCTATTTTGCCCTTCTTTTACGATCACCTACCAGAAACAAAATGGCTTCTCAGGTGCGAACGCTTTTGCACTCGCAACTTAGAGGCTTGCAAGGGCCGCGCTTTTTTCTGTCTCCTCCATTTATTCCCAGTCGTTCTCGCGCTGTATTTTTACTACATACTGGCTTGTACCAATAAACGTCGTATATAACTGCACACCACTTCATCACTCGTTTACACGCGTGAGTAATGAATGTCACGGGTGATTTACAGTAACACCGGACGATCCCACTGCGTCGCCCACTGATCATTCACTTCGTAGATACGCCGTGTTTTTTGACTGAGACAGACTTAGATTAAGTAGACTGCAATTCACGGTGTTATTAAAGGCTCCCTAAGGCAGAATGAAAGCTATCCGGAAGTGTAAAAAAAAAAAGAGTGTTACGGGGTGGTATTCCGCAGCCTGCCGATCGTGTATGGTGGCTCATGTATGGGAATCGCACCTAATGAAATGTTGTGGCAAAACGATCTCAGGCACAGCTTGCTGGGAGATGCATATCTTGTACATATTATTAATATTAATTGTAGAAGTTTAACGTTAGGAAACTGCCACATGATTCTGAGAAACGCAGTAACCACGAGCTCGGTAAATTTCGACCACCTGAGGTTCCTTAACAAGCGCCTAATCTAAGCACATGGGCCACAAGAATTTCTGCCTCCAAGGAAAATGCAGCCGCCGCAGCCGGGATTCAGTCCCTTGCCCGGCAGCTC